TATATATATAGTTAAACATGTTTTTAAAATACTACATATTGCGTAATTGGCATCATACTCGAAATACCACCAGAACTTGCTTTTTAAATTCTGCTTTATTTTTTATATCCGTCCTTGACGGTATATAGGATAGATCTAATTCATTCAGTTTAAATGCCGCATCATATTCAAGTACAAGAACATAACACATTTATCCCAAACCCTATTTTTACAATTGATTTCCAGCTCCTTTTTTTCCTGTTTTTAAAAAAAAAATTTTTTTTTCAACGTTTATTTTTGGGACAGAGAGAGACAGAGCATGAACGGGGGAGGGGCAGAGAGAGAGGGAGACACAGAATCGGAAACAGGCTCCAGGCTCCGAGCCATCAGCCCAGAGCCTGACGCGGGGCTCAAACTCACGGACCGCGAGATCGTGACCTGGCTGAAGTCGGACGCTTAACCGACTGCGCCACCCAGGCGCCCCTTCCTGTTTTTTTTTTTTTTAAATGCTACAATGAATATTCTTATGAATGCCTCCTTGTGTTCATGTGTGAGAGTTTTCTGGGGTGTACAGCCAGAAGTATATGCTGGGTGTTCAATATTCTTGGGTCATACAATGTATGAATTTTCGATCAGATAGGACTATATCCTAACTTTTATCTCTAAATTTGTTGTATCGATTTATTCTCGCACCAGCTGCACTTGACTTTCTCAATATCCTCATAGTCAAGTGTTTCAGCTGTTTTCATTTTCACAGCATCTCATTGTGATTTTATTTTTTCTTTCTCTGATCTCTAGTTATTTTGGGCATCTTTGCCTATATTTATTTGTTGTTTGGGTGTCCTCTTCTGAGAATTATTCATATCCTATGCACAATTTAAAAAAAATTTTTTTAATGTTTATTCAGTTTTGACAGAGAGAGAGAGAGAGCATGAGCAGGGGAGGGGCAGAGAGAGAGGGAGACGCAGAATCCGAAGAAGGCTCTGAGCTGTCAGCACAGAGCCCGACGCGGGGCTCGAACTCACCGACCACGAGATCATGACCTGAGCCGAAGTCGGATGCTCAACCGACTGAGCCACCCAGGCACCTCTGCATAATTTTTGATGAGGTTATTTTTCTTACTGATTTGTAGGGCTCCTTTACACATTCTGATGTGAACTTTTATGTATTGTGATATGTCACAGCTATAGTTCTCTAATCTGCCACTTATCTTTTAACTTTCTTTATGGAGTCATTTGTGACACAGAAAATCTAAATTTCAGTGTCATCAGTACTTTCTTTTATCACTTCTGCTTTTCTGTCTGTGTTCCCTGTCTTGAGAACAGAGATATCCCCACAATATTTCTTTCTAACATGTTTAACATTTTTTTTCATATTTAGGTCTTTAAGCTACCCAGAATATTTTTGTGTATGTTCAGGTAAGAATCTAACTTCATTTTTTTCTCCACATGGTGAACCAATTTCTTCATTTATTTATTATTATTTTTTAATGTTTTACTTATTTTTGAGAAAGACAGAAAAAGAGAAAGAAAGAAAGAAAGAAAGAAAGAAAGAAAGAAAGAAGGCAAGCAGGGGAGGGTCAGAGAGAGAGGGAGACACAGAATTGGAAGCAGGCTCCAGGCTCCAAGCTGTCAGCACAGAGCCTGATTCGGGGCTCCAACCCATGAACCACAAGATCATGACCTGAGCCAAAGTCAGTCACGTAACTGACTGAGCCACCCAGGAGCTCCCTGCCCCCCATTCTTCATTTATTGAGTAGTCCGTCATTTCTTAACTGTCACCTGTATAATATATCAAATTCAAAATATGTATGAGCCTATTTCTGGGATCTCTTTTCTGTTCCATTGGTTTATTTTCTATCCCTGCTCTAGTATTTCACTATTTTAGGTATTGAGGCTTTATAATAAACCCTAATATATGGTGAAAACAAAATTTCCTCTTTTTTTTTCAAAATATCTTTCACAATTTTAACATTGCGGGGACCCCTGGGTGGCTCAGTCAGTTGAGCGTCCAATTTCGGCTCAGGTGATGATCTCCCAGTTTGTGGGTTGGAGCCCTGCGTGGGCTCTGTGCTGACAGCTTAGAGCATGAGGCCTGTTTCAGATTCTGTGTCTTCCTTTCATCTCTGCCCATCCCCCTGCTTGTGTGCACGCACAATCTCTTTCTCAGGAATAATAAATGAATAAGCTTTTAAAAAATTGTGAAATTGATATGTTTAGCTCCACTAAAAAATTCTGGTAAACTTTTGGTTGGAAGCATTGAGTTTAAAGAGTAATTTG